GGCATTATGCCATTTTGATGGGCCATAATTTATGATTTCTTTTCGAACAAAGATTTTAACATCTTATGATATTATTTCTTGATTGAGATATCCTTATCCATTCATTACTAATCTTTGTTATATGTGCTTATTATTCCTAAAAATATTTTAATTATAGATTATTATATAAACAAATATGAATGAAGAGCAATCAGTCAATCATCTTTTGTTGATATTGATGATGTCATGGACATAACACATAAGGAAATAAACGATATTGTGGACACACATGATGCAATTGATGATGACTATATGAATACTTTAATACTAAAGAAATTGTTGAATATTATCACCACACTTTTTGATTTACCTAAAACTAGTAAATGAGTGAGATATCCTAATTTATATACACTTTGAGGCCAAAAATAATATTTCAAGATATAAGTTATAAGGGATGAATCCTATCAATAATGTTCAGCACATGAAGTTTCTCTAATTTAATAGTCACTGACAAAATGTTTGAAGCTTAAGTTTGTAATCAATTCAATTTGAAATAGGACACCTATTTGAAAATAAAAATGAGATAAGGATGAAACTACATCTTTTTGAAGTGAAACATTATGTTGAATTTGAGCTAAGGGATCAGATTAAGATATTTCAAATATCTATTACACATCTAAGAAATATTCATAGTGTTAGATCATATTTTATTCTTGTATTGTATCTGAGCTTTAATAACCAAGAGAAAGAGAGATGATTTGGTAAAGGCAACACTTAAACTTAAGACAAAATCTTTGTAAGAAAATTTTGTTTAGGAAATCCTTTGGTGAGTTGCATTCTAAAATCATTTGCTTGCCTTTCATGTAGGCGAGTTTGAAATTGGGTTATATATTAGATTCCCTCATTGTATCTTTGGAAAGTGACTACAAAATAGGAAGAACATGAGAAAATAATCTGATATACTGAGGCAAGGTTGATACCAAACCTTATTCTTTGACCAAGCTTTCATTTTTCTGTGTCAAGTACATTTACTTATGCATCTTGAAATAATATATCAATATAATAATTAACATTTAAAGAGCACAAGAAAATCATATAAAATTATTAAAAAAAATTAATATGAGATTTTTTTTTCATAGATGTGACTATTTTGTCATTGTTTTTTACATCATTATGGATTACTTTATCATACAATTTCTCCTTCATCAAGCAATAAGTTTTTATAATGCTTTACTGTTTCCATTTTATTATATATGACTTAAGCTTTGTAAAGAATGAATTTAAGAGAGTTTGGCATCTTTAACAAGGATTGACTGTATAAGAAAGAGATAGATTTTAAAAGAAGTAGAAAGGAGGAAAATGAGACTCAACCTACATTTGGTGAGTAAGAAGGCTAATGTAGTTTCCCTTGTTACAAAGGCAACCCTAATCATAGTTAGAATTAGTAAAATTTCTTAAATAGTGATCATCGAAATGCAGAACAATGAGGGGTTCCCCAATCTGATGAGTAAGTGAAAATGGCTGACAAAATTTTTATTATAATCCATCTGATCATTATGTTGTTCAAACAATTTCTTAAGCATCCCAACAATTGCAACTTGGCTACCCTTAAGGAAAAAATCACTGTGAGGACAAAGGGGCTAAGTACAAGAAAAAGTATTACTGAAATGTAACTTTATTTTAAAATTTTAAATATTGTTTTCCATGTACTGGATTTTGCTAGGCTGCAAGGTGTCATCCTATCTTGATGCTTCATTTTCCAATGGTGAGATGGTAGCAATCAAGATGTCAGAGCACCAATGCTTCTTGGCTATTTATAAGGACATGCCTGATGAGTTATATTTATTCTTGGCAACTCTAAGGATACTCAACCTTCCAAACAGAGCCCCTAACCATAACCAACACCCCCCTCCACACACACGCACACACACACACACACACACACACATAGACACACCCACCCACCAAAATGCTAAAGGATTCAAAGATCTAGATATAGTTTTGATGGTCAAGTGGTTACACTGATTTTAGGCATGGCTAGTTAGGGTGGCCAATATGATGTTGTTGTTAGCTATATAAGGGAATAATTGTTCGTGACTAGGGTTGAGTTTGAAAAGTAAAGAAATTTATAACAATGAGAACGAAAGTAGCTCGAGAAAATATAGCCACCATATAAGTTGTTCTGATGTTGAAAGTGAGGATATTTATAGCCTTGTAAAGGAGCTTTATGTGCTAATTGTAAAGTTATCCTCATTTGAAATGGTTTAGTCTCTAAGTTTGAACTAATTCCTTAGTGTGGGCAAGTTCATACTGTCACTTGGTGAAGTCCTAACACTTACCCATGGATGCTCTAATTGATCTTATTTTTCATTTCTTTGATGTTTTTCTTATAAGCAAATCATAAAAAGTATTGAGTGAAACTTAAGGTTTAATTTTTTTTAGACTATAAGCATGAGTATCTTATAATCTTATTCACCATAATGAATTAGTTGTATCAATCTCATAAAGTAAATATAAATCTTTTTCATATTTTGATGGTGTATTTTCTCATTTATCTTCATTATCACGTGCCCATATTATAGTATATTCTTTATATTATGTTTGGATTTGCTAAGTGTCAATTTGAATCTATGTCTATGAGTGAACAACTATAAGTACTTGTATATAGTTGACCACAAGTTAGGCCTTAGTTGATCATTGTAATTAACTACTAATTCATGGCTTTGTCAACTCAAGGAGCAACTTATGAGATATTGTGTACAAAAATATTTCTAGTTCATTATAAACCACACTCGATGCAAGATATCAAGGCATCATAGTGGCTCGAAGGTGTGCCATAATGATTATACCTCATTCAATTTTAATGCCTCTATTTAGAAATAAATTTTTGAAAGTGCCTTTTATTAAACTCTCCACTAGTGGTAAAAAACGTTCACAATAAATATATTAGCATTATTAACATCATTAAATTTTCCATCTAGTTCTCTCTCTAAAATTCTAAAGCTTCTATCTTTAGACTTCTTAAATTCCTTCTTTTTCATGCTTAGCTTCTTTATTTTTTCAAATGGATAGTGCTTTGATAAAAGAGTGCAAAACACTGCGTTAGTTCTAATATGCAAAGCCATTCAATAACTCATCATTGAGGGTTAGTTGGTTTTACGTGGTGATTTCTTGATCCATCTTATTCAAGCTATAAAGGAAGACAAGTTCCCAAAAGGATGAGAGTTGTGCGTTAGAGGATCAATTTTGTCTAGCCTCTATTTCCTACTCTATCCTAATCAATCAGCATAGTATTCCTCCTTCATTGAACAATGGTTGACGATAAACAAGATTTCCTGGAAGAACGTGAATGCTAAGATTACTGCAACTTGATCCATTATTTAGAGAAAACTTAGTCCACTTCTCAAGTGTTGGTTGAATTTTACAAACTCAAGCTCCATTCTCACCTATTAAAATTACTACAAACTAATCCATGAATTGTTTTACCTCTAGTTCCTCAAGTGAGCATTACTATAAGGCTAAGCTAAGAAATCCTTGAAAACCACTGCCAACAAAGAGTTTGTAGCCGTGAATGCTGCATTGCCAAGGAAAATAAAGAAAATGGTTCTTTATGGTAAGAGAAAATATATTGATCAACTTCCCTGAAAGATGGGTCAAATCTAGCATATTAGGCATTTGAGTTTGTAGAGAGTCAAATACAAGGAAGATTGACTACAACATGGACCCTTGTAGGCTTGAAAACAATTACACTATATTTGACCTTTTTCAAGTCATCTTTTAGAGTTATTATATTATTAGGTAAGTCTAATTTTTTATGTGTGAGCTATACTTGGAGATCATTAGGTGATGGTCATTTATTAGCAAAAAATGAGTACCCTGGTGAGCGAGTATGCCCAGAAGTTTTTCACAATAAAAGAATAGGTTCTGAGGAACTACAAAGCTAAAGCGCAATAAATAATATAACTTTTGAAACAATAAAAATAATGGATGAAGTACTTTATACAAATAATATTGTTATTATCTCTTGAAAGGACATGGCCATCGTGATTCAAAATCATTAAATTTCTCTAAGATTCCTTATTTATAGGGATGTAGAGCGTTAATCATTGTAGGAATATTCTTATAATCAGCTATATATGTAATAAATTTATAGAAAAATTAATGAAAAATAAGATGGGTGTGTAGCTGAAATATAAACTCGAATTAGAAGTTGGTCATTAGGTACGAAGGAGTTGTTAGGAATGGTGGTAAACATCATTTCACTCTCTAACATTGGTTGATTGGTCAAGTCTGATGAGATCATTGGGCGACTCCCTCATGAGCAAAAGTGAATGTCCCCTTCTTCAGCTAGCTAGTCTTTCCACTTTAGACTTAGTCGTGAGTCCTCCGAGTTAAGTTGGCAAGCATCGTCTTTCTTAAGCCCATATGGCAAGTTTGTATTGAGCAGGTTCTGGCGAGCTTATCTCTTTGCCTTCCACTTAGGTGATTTTGCCCTTGGGTTTATACACATAGAGCTTGTGAGCTGCAAAGTTAGCAAAATAAAAAATATTTGAGATCAGAAGTTATGAATCATAACAATTTATAGTTTGACTATTAGATTGAAACACTGTCAACAAGCTCAACTATAATTGATCAAACATATAATCAAGAAGAATCTCATCAGATCCGAACCAAATTCAAAGCTAAAGGCGATCAAGTTAGATATAAAGCGGGAATATATTAGATGTAAGAGGTATTGAGAGATTGATTTATATTATGAAAAAACATGACAATATTATGAGCAAGATGACATTTATAAGATGATACCTCAAAGTATTATTTTAGAAGTCAAAATTACATCTTCTTTTGCTAAATAAGAAAATTTTAAGAATTATTATTCTTCTTCAACTTGTTAATGTAGGATATTTTAGGTTTACTTATCTTGTGGTGCTTGTATTCATATTTATCTAATAATAATGCTTATAAAATTTAACTAAAAGCACTTTTTATGATGCAAAAAGCCAACTTACTGTTGTAAAAAAACTTTCAAAAGCTGATCAAACGGCCACCATCCCCGGGAAGTTGATGAAAGCCTCCAGCTGCAGCTTCTACTTCAACGTATTCTTTCGCCGCATCACGAACGCTGGACAAATCTCGGACAAAGCCTTACTTCGACTTGTGGATGAATGCCGAAACCTTTTCGAACTCCAAAACGTCCATGCCGAAGTCGTTGGCCGCCGCCGCCTCTCCTCCGATCCCGCCGTCGCGATCAAGCTAATGCGAGCATATGCTGCTTGTGGCGACATCGCTCGCGCCCGTCATGTGTTCGACGAAAGTTCTGAGAAAAACGTCGTTTTCTTCAACGTCATGATACGCAGCTACGTTGCTTATGGACGTTACAGGGATGCTCTGCTGCTCTTCTCTGACATGGAGCGATTCCATGACGTGAAACCCGATAATTACACCTATCCATGCGCGCTGAAGGCCTGTTCCTGCTCCGAGAAGCTCTCTGGTGGCGTCCAGATTCATGGATCTATTACAAAGGTTGGCCTTGATTCAAATTTGTTTATTGGGAACGCTCTCATTACATTGTACGCTATGTGCGGAAGTTGTGTAGATGCCCAACAGGTGTTTGATGGAATGCCCAAGCGTGATGTGGTGTCCTGGAATGCAATCATTTCTGGATGTGCACAGAGAGGTCTGAATGGGCAAGCACTGCAGATCTTCAGGGTTTTGTTTCTACGTCAGAGGCCGAGGGTTGATGCCGGTACCATGGCAAGTGTTTCGCATGCTATGTCGAATGCGAAACCTGAAGACATTGAATTCGTAAGGATCATGTTTGATGAAATCAAAGGAAGAAATTTGATATCTTGGAATGCCATGATTGCAATATATGTGAAGAATTCTATGGCAGCAGAAGCCATGGAACTTTTTAGGGACATGGAGAAACAAGGAATGGAACCAGATGAGGCTACACTAGCAAGTCTTCTTCCAGCTTGCCGTGATCTGATGGACCTGACACTAGGAAAGCAACTTCATGAATTCATCAATAAAAAGAATATGTGCCCGAATTTGACCCTGGAGAATGCTCTTATGGACATGTATGCCACTTGTGGGTGCCTAAAAGAAGCACGAGAAGTTTTCAGTACCATGAGAACTAGAGATGTTGCATCCTGGACAACAATCATCTCAGCTTATGGCATGCATGGGCATGGCCGAGAAGCAATTTCTCTGTTTGAACAAATGCAGGAATCGGGCCTTGAGCCAGATCACATAGCTTATGTTTCCGTTCTTTCAGCCTGCAGCTACTCAGGGCTTCTTGAAGCTGGAAAACACTACTTTAACTCCATGACTAAGCTTTATAACTTGGTTCCAAAGATTGAGCATTATGTCTGCATGGTCGACCTTCTTGGACGTGCAGGTAAAGTGGATGAAGCTTATGATGTCATCAGACAGATGCCACAGGAACCTAATGAGAGGGTATGGGGTGCTCTTTTGGGTGCTTGTAGAGTTCATTCGAACATGTCTATTGGTTTGATTGCTGCTGACTATTTATTCAGATTGGTTCCAAAGCAAGCTGGCTACTATGTATTACTATCTAATATTTATGCTAGAGCTGGAAGATGGAAGGATGTTGCTTTGGTTAGAAGTATTATGGCAAGCAAGGGGATAAAAAAGTTACCTGGATGTAGCATTGTGCAACTTGGGAATAAAGTTCACACCTTTTATATAGGAGACAGGTCACACAGACGGTCAAAGGAGATCTATGCAGAGCTGGATGTCTTGATGAGAAAGCTGAAGGAGGCTGGTTATAGTGCTGAGACTGAAACTGCTCTCCATGATGTGGAAGAAGAGGACAAGGAGGGCCACCTTTTGGTGCACAGTGAGAAGCTTGCTATCATTTTTGCTCTCATCAGTAGTTTTCCTGAGATGCCAATTAGGATCACAATGAATCTTCGAATGTGTGGGGATTGCCACCTTGCAGCAAAGCTCATTTCAAGAATTACAGCACGAGAGATCATCCTCAAAGATACTAATAGGTTTCATCATTTTCAATGTGGTTCTTGCTCATGTGGAGATTACTGGTAATATTTTCTGGCATTGAATGCTCTTGATGGATGTTATCATATGGAGCTGCGTTTCTTCGTATCATGAAGAGTTTTAAGAAGAAATAGCAGACAGTGAAGGGCAACAAGGTGACATTTTTAACCAATAGTTCACTTTTCAACAAATTTTTTTTTCCATTACAATTGAATTCTGGTCTTTACTAATAAATAAAGAGGGAGTGACTGCATTCATTGTCGATTAATCAGAGGTTTGAACACCATTTTTCTTTTTCTTGGGTTGCGGGGGGCGGGGGGAGGTGGGGTTTGAGCCTGTAAGCCCTTGGGTGTGAGCAGTGGCCGATATTGATAGTTCAGTGCAGGTTTTTTTTAAGAATTTGTCGGCTGCTCCATTTGTAGTAAAAAGTTGACAAATTTGGAAGATTCCAGTAATATGAATGCAAGCTGAATGCCTTTCTGGTATATATGAGCTATTACTTCTAATCATTCTTTCGGGTTGAGAAGATTTGAAGGTGTGTTCCTCAACTTTCTCAGTTTGATGATAGTCACTTGCCTTGTTATGGAGTAAAGAAAATATCTCCATTGCTGCAATAGAAAATCCTATTTTTATACATAAAAGAAAGTTCTTTGGTAATCTTCATCCTTGTCATTGTTGTCATCTCTAGTGTTTATCACTATAGTTTTTTACGGTTTTGAGTACTTTTTTGCACTTCAGGCTTATAAGGGAATTCTGTTAATGTGAATTACAAATGACTAGCTATATCTTATAAAGGAATTTTCTGAATGTCATTTGCTAAAACCATTTCTGTTTAGTTTTTTGTTTCATGCAAGATACCATTCATGTGTTGTATGCTGTTTCTTGCCTAAACCTAAATAATTACTTTAGCATCTTTCGCGTACATGAACATATAAATAGGTCTTAGTTCCTTTACCTTTTTGACATTTTAAGTGATATCTGGCTGGAACTATGGTCTTGTGCAGGTTTTTTTTAAGAATTTGTCGGCTGCTCCATTTGTAGTAAAAAGTTGACAAATTTGGAAGATTCCAGTAATATGAATGCAAGCTGAATGCCTTTCTGGTATATATGAGCTATTACTTCTAATCATTCTTTCGGGTTGAGAAGATTTGAAGGTGTGTTCCTCAACTTTCTCAGTTTGATGATAGTCACTTGCCTTGTTATGGAGTAAAGAAAATATCTCCATTGCTGCAATAGAAAATCCTATTTTTATACATAAAAGAAAGTTCTTTGGTAATCTTCATCCTTGTCATTGTTGTCATCTCTAGTGTTTATCACTATAGTTTTTTACGGTTTTGAGTACTTTTTTGCACTTCAGGCTTATAAGGGAATTCTGTTAATGTGAATTACAAATGACTAGCTATATCTTATAAAGGAATTTTCTGAATGTCATTTGCTAAAACCATTTCTGTTTAGTTTTTTGTTTCATGCAAGATACCATTCATGTGTTGTATGCTGTTTCTTGCCTAAACCTAAATAATTACTTTAGCATCTTTCGCGTACATGAACATATAAATAGGTCTTAGTTCCTTTACCTTTTTGACATTTTAAGTGATATCTGGCTGGAACTATGGTCTTGTGCAGGTTTTTTTTAAGAATTTGTCGGCTGCTCCATTTGTAGTAAAAAGTTGACAAATTTGGAAGATTCCAGTAATATGAATGCAAGCTGAATGCCTTTCTGGTATATATGAGCTATTACTTCTAATCATTCTTTCGGGTTGAGAAGATTTGAAGGTGTGTTCCTCAACTTTCTCAGTTTGATGATAGTCACTTGCCTTGTTATGGAATAAAGAAAATATCTCCATTGCTGCAATAGAAAATCCTATTTTTATACATAAAAGAAAGTTCTTTGGTAATCTTCATCCTTGTCATTGTTGTCATCTCTAGTGTTTATCACTATAGTTTTTTACGGTTTTGAGTACTTTTTTGCACTTCAGGCTTATAAGGGAATTCTGTTAATGTGAATTACAAATGACTAGCTATATCTTATAAAGGAATTTTCTGAATGTCATTTGCTAAAACCATTTCTGTTTAGTTTTTTGTTTCATGCAAGATACCATTCATGTGTTGTATGCTGTTTTACACATGCCTTTTGCTAAAAATCACACACCACAACAATCAGCCAAAAGGTGAGATCAGCCTAGCGTGAGGGTATTCACCCTTTGGAGAAGCCTCTAACATTGAAGTTAGTTGTGAGCTAAAAGCTGTTTGATTTGGTCGGATTAGGCGGTCTCATTGAGAATCTAATCACTTTTTGACTGTCAGTCCACACTATGGTTGCATCCCTTAGGAAGTCCTAAGATTTCAAATGAACAAGCATAGAAATCTTGGTAATTGGTAAAGGAACCTCTCATTATGAGAAATCTTGGTAAAGGAACCTCTCATTATGTTTTTTTTTTTCCTTTCTTAATGATCTGATATGAAGTACACCTTATAAGAACTTTCACCTCCTTCAAGCACTTATATTATATAATAGAAGGCTTGCCGATGATATTCCTTTTGGACATATGGTCACAAGAATCATGGTGCACCTCCTCAACCTCCTTTGCCCGTCAACAGGATCCTTAGAGTATATAGGTCCAAATTACCATCATTCATGACTTGAGAAGACTAAATACTCTAGAAAATTGACACTTTAAGAAGTATGCGTTTGATATCATGGTGTTTAGGCAAGAAAAAAAGTTAAGGTCAATGCCCCCATCTTTGGTAGTAGTTGTGATCCCTAATTTTTCATTCAATTTTTGGTAATTTGGACTATTTTGACCGATATTTAATGAGTGGTTAAGTGCATCATATATGTCAAATTAATAGGTGATGTAAAGAGGTTTTGTTTATGATTCAAGTGTCACATTGACAATATTGTTGATCTTGTTAGAAATTGGTTTATCATGAAAGCTAAGCCAAGAGAAAAATATATGCCCGCCAATTGTAAATCTTGAATATTTGAGCAACTATTAAATCCTACATAACAAAGTAAACTAGTAATGAGTGTTAAATCAATTTGAAGATATGAATTTCAAATATGATATTCATGAATAAACATGGTTTATAATAAATTATTTATTTAGTGTTCTTCGTAATAAAGTTAATACCGTATGGTTCTTTTTTTTCTTTTATTTGATAAGACCGTATGGTTCTTTGAACCCATGGCTGAAGATGAAACTTAACATAACGGCTTAAAGATGCAAAGGAGATTGCATCTTTCCTCTAGAAGCAATGCAATCGGTCTGCCAACATTAAAACAGTTCATCTAGCTCTTTCAAGTCAATCATTGTCTATCCCATAGTTTAATCTACTACTCCCACACCTACTAGAAATAGTAGAATTAAAAATGATTGAAAGTGAAAGGTAATATAGAGTTTTGATGCCCTCAAAAAAACTATGCAAGATTTTAATGATTTTTCAAATCCTGATGATGAAATATTAAAATATATGTATATGGATGACCTGGCCTTTCTAATGAAAATTCTGACAAAACACATAACATTAAATTAAAATCTTGTATGGTCTATCATATAGTTTTACTTGCAGATCTGAATCTTAATGTAAAATAAGTTTTTGAAATTACAATTAGGACTAAAGCTAAATTTGAAAATGTAAAAGCAAATATAAAATTTTGACTCAAAATGTGTTTTTTGATTTACCTCTCTTCATTATTTTACCATCAGACAACTTGTAATTACTATATTCCACCAAAAGCATTCTATTGTTTCATTGCATTGTATATTTAGCATCTGTATGTTAGCTTTCAATATTGTTCAAGAAAAGTATACAGTTGTCATGCAAGCTCATCATAGAGTTTGAAACATCTTCATGAGTGGCTATTATTTAATTTATTGGCTATTTGCATATGCTTTATTCTTTAGTTATTTGTTTATACCTACTAAAGCCATGAAATTTTATTATATTTGTATTTAGGATTTTTTTTTTTGTGATTGTTTTGCTTTTTAACATTAGTAACGAGCTTCATTTTGATGAAGCAATTCTATTACCAAGCAGCGATATTGATCCACCCCAGGGATTATCACTTTTTATATAAGTCCTGGTAGAGGTACTAGAAACTTGATCTGCTCTCTAGCAAATTGGTCGAGTTTTTTAAAATTAGGTATTATTACTTACTAGGGTTTCTCACGCAGGTGTATGTATCATTTCAATAATATAAGGCTCTATTGAGTCTGTATTGTCGATCCCACAGAGAATGAGGTAACGAGTCTAATAAGAGAAGTTCTAGTCCACTACGCTAAGTTCTCAGTTTGGAATGTCGATTAAGTTTAATTTTTCTAACAGCTACTCCTAAGTTAAGATTCCGTGACTATGTTATACCTATCTAGATCAATTGGGTTGGTAAAATCAAGATATAAAAGCTACTCTTCTCTTGTGATTGTACAAGTAAGTTGTAGAATCGAATACTATGAATTGCTAATGTAGCTAGTGACAAATAGGAACATTCCTCTTCTTTACCTTCTGTTGAGTGCATAAAGAAGTTTGGTCAACCTAGATTATATTGGTTACGACTCTAGCCTATCACCCTAGAGTTCAGTTTTTACCCTCAAACTGGCTAACCTAGTTTTAATTCATTAAACACTAGATCAAACTGGTTAGGGTTCTAGCCTATCACCCTAGAGTCCTCAATTTACACCAATCAAAGCCTATTTCTCTATCAATTTGCACTGCCTTATGTACTACTTTTTCTTCACTCACTATTGCAATATGGTTTTTACTAGTTGAATAAAACCATAGCCCTCCCGGATCTTATGGTTCACAATAAATTTTAATAAACCAACTGATCAGATTGATAAGTAAATTAAGCATGATGTAAAAATCATCACCTTAAGATATAAAGATCAATTTTATAATCATTCTAATTTCCTAAAAAATTAATTTATTCATCACAAGAGCATGGTAAAGGAATTCTACCCACAAAACATGTTTAACACAACAGAAAACATCATTACTTCAAATCAAATCCATCAAATATGTGTTTACAACAGAGACAAGTAAATAAAGAACACAATACTTAATTTTTTTCCTCTAGAAAAAAGATGTAAATCCCTTAAACAAAGCCTTCTACCAATCCTTGCAATGTTGATACAAATCCCTTACAGAATTGCACTCAAATTTTCTCTTCAATCTCTCAAGAAAATGTAAAAATCTACAATCCCTACTCCTATCTACGACTTCTTGACGTCCTTGGAGGATTCCCCAATTTAGAAATGCCAAAAAGTGCCTTTCCAATTTTTTGTATTCGTCAAATAACTCTCTGGTTCGTCATGAAACCGCCCCGGGCTAGGCGCTAGCCTGCGGCGCCTAGGCGTCATCTTCTCTGTTTGCGGGAACATGTCGGGCGCTTAGGCGTCCATCTGCGACGCCATGACGCCATGGAGTGGCGCCTAGGCTCCTGAATCTGGCGCTTAGGTGCTAGTTTGCTATTTCTTCTATTGTTTCCATTGCCTCCATTTCGCTCTATTTTCGCTTCAATTTGCTTCAAATCTCCTACCTGTTATACCTGCAAGAAAAACATGAAAATACCATTCTTTAAAATACAATTTCATTCAAAACAGGTGCTAAATGTAAAAGAAATTAATTATATTAAAAGACATATCAAACACATTTGATTCTTTAGTATTTATTATTGCTTATACATTTGTTTTTTTATGCTAATGATTTTATTGATGACGTGTAAGTATTATAATAACAATATACAAATGGAGATATCATCTACCTTCAAGAGATTCTAGGAATTCCTTAATTGAACTTATTATTATTTTTTCAGCATTTATAGTGTACATAAAAAATATGTCAGCACAAATCTTAAAGAGATTTGATGGTTAACAGAGAAGATGACGTCGTGGTTCGAGAACCAACAAGGGCAGTTCAACGGACCATATTTTTTCGGCCGGCTCTTGTTGGCCGAGAGAAAAAATAGTTCCAAGACAGAGAGAATCCGACCACTCTCCTGAAGCTTATTGGCACAATACTCACGCGGACGAATCCGCTGGCATTCCACAACCATGTCGGGCGAATAATGAAAACCGCCCGGTTCTAAAGCAGTATGTCGGGCCACCCGGTCTACCCTTCGACCTTAGCCACCTGGGAAATGACCCAGTCAGTCATTCCCTCAGGCTCTCTGTGCTTGGCCTCTTAGCCCAAAATCCGGCCGGCTGCCATCCCAGGCTCCCGACCACATCTGGCCGGACGTCATTTCAGGCTCTTGGTCCTACAATTATGTATTAACCAAAATGTCTCCACTGTACCTATTTTTCTAGGGGTGCAAAATATGATTTTATATCTCCCATTCCTATAAATAGGGGCTCATTTCATGAATAAATGTTACGTGATTTTATTATTTATTACCAAGCTCTTTGCTCTCTTCCTCTCTTCCTCTCTTCCTCTCTTCCTCTCTTCCATGCTCTATTCCTTAGGCGTATCTTCCGGGAAATTTTGGATTCAACATCCTAAAAGGTGCGGTGAGCATGGAGTCATACCGTTGACAAGAAGGGAGCATAACAATCATAAAGAGGAGAGTTGCCAGAGAGAAGTAGCCAACATAGAACGCGTAAAAGAAGACATGGAAGAGCTCATGTAACGAGAAATGCAAGAGTTAAGGACTCAGATAATGGATCAGATGTTGGGCCAAATCGCAGAAGCCCTAAGGGTCATCATAACCATAGTAGGAGATCGGGTCCCCCAGGGGAAGAACCTCGTCAGGAGGCGTCTCAGGTGCAAAAGGATAG